GGGCGGGCAGCTCCGCGCCCGCGGTGGGGGCCTTGCAGGGGGCAGGAGCGCTCTCGGTGCAAGGTTAAATACTGGCGTAAGGGTTTTCAGGGCAGGATTGGTTACTGCTACGGGAAGGATCTTGTCGGAGTCTGCTTTAGGTGGGAGCCGGGAAAGCGATTCCCGTTGATGTGAGGTTTTTAGCGTGTTTGTGCCTAAGTCAGCACTGTGAGTTGTAGTGGGGGACAAGTCTCACCGCATTCGTCCGCAGCTTCCTCACAAGGCCAAGCTGCGGTTCTGACCTGCAGTAAAGTGCTCTGGCTGTGATGTGTCCAGCATCGTGCATGACCCAGTCTCACAGTGTTAAGTAGCAGTGTAAAGAAGGGAGTGTCCCTCACCGAAGGAAGATTAGGAAGAGATACACTATTTTTTAAACAACAGAAAACAGTGAGATGTATGAGAGAGTGAGCTTATGGAGGTCTTGGCCATAGGGCTGGGCACTGAAGTCAGACAGTAAAGTTAGGGTTCCTCTCCTTCCTCTTCTCCTTCTGTTGTCTCCTTGTCTGGCTTTTCATCCCATACACAGGGAGGATGGAAGGGTGCCCTGGAGCCTGTACAGTGCTCGTTTCTCTCCCCGTGTCCAAGGAGAGAGAGACATCAAACTGTGTACAAGGACACACTGAGGCATGAGGCACAAGTTGGGGAAACTCTGCTCTAGTTCTAGGTCTCCTTGAGTGTTTCTGTGCAGGCTTTTGGAGAGGCAGTTTGATACACGTGTGGATTGCAATGGTTTCGGGCTGGGTCAGCCTAGCTGGGTCCCTGAGTCAGTGTGCAGGGCAGGGCTGGGTAGTGCTTGGCAACAATACCAGGAGCAGAGCACAAAGTGCGTTTCCTTTCTCAGTTTATCTCTGCTGGAGTTGTGTACCTGGGACTGCACCTTGCCCCACGCTCTTGTGCTCTGTCTGCAGGGATAGGTCCTGGAGAGGTTGCTGTGTTTGGAGGTTGCGTTCTTAGCATGTAGCAGGGAAGATGTGCAGTTGTAAATTATCATAAAAAGCAAGCTGAATTAAAATTGCTTCAGGGGAGAACAAGGACATGTTCTTCTTTTGTTAGTGTAGCCATTTACGAAAACAGCTCTTGCCTTTTTCTCTGTGCCTTCACTGGTGCAGTCCAGATTTATCTGTAAGACAGGGAGCATTTAAAAATTGCACCTTCCACAAGTGGAAAGGCAAGGTTTCATTGAAGCAGTTCTGGGAAGTTAACTGATACGCCTTCTGGGCTGGTCCTGCAAGGGGAGAAAGTCCAACAGTCCTGAGTGGAAGAGTCGGTTTAAGTCAGAAGATAATGTACCTCTTGACAGTTATGTCTCACGTGACGTAGAAGGGAGACTGTGAGACTCCCTTTGCTACTGAGTTGTTAAAATGCAGAAATAGAGCAATGCTGATGGACAGACACTTGCGTTTTTTTGTAAGCAAATGTCTTCTGTGAGTTTAAAGTTATATTAAACTAACCCTGTTTTTCCTTTGTGTAGATGTGTCGCTTCACTCAAAGAAGTTCAGCTTTGTCATGTCCAAAAATATGTAATATATTTTGGCGGTAAGTTGGAGATTCATATTCTTGTGTAATGGGTAAAGACATAGTTATTGGGTGAACTCGGTAGTTACACCTGTGAGCCGATAACCTTGAAAATATGGTATTTTGCTCTGCGACATAGTTGGATAATTATGTGTAGACTGTTACTGTGGTGCTGAGTCTGAATCCAAGTCCTCTATCCTGGAGACGAATGGGCAAAGCAAGAATGCCCCTAGAAAGCCCATATGGTTCTCTTTGGAAAAGGAAACATAATAATAGGCATAAACTTAACTCCAGGGAACAAAAAAAAAAGTCAGGCCTAAGCCTAATGCATTTTAATGCATCCAGGTGGAGTTTTCACCCTTTACTGATAAACGTTCATAGCATCATTATGCTGTCTGGAAGTATTGATTTAATTTATAATTTATAATGTAGCTGGGTGTTAAAAAGAGAATTTTCAAATCCAAGTCAGGGATATTTTTCCAGGAGTGCACAGGAGAGGGAAGAAAGTAACGGAATAATTGTGTTACTGGAAGATGGAGGCTTCATCTCCAAATGTACGCTACACTATCAGGAGTGTATTCAAAAGGAATGCATTGCGAGTAATGCAGTTTGTGTCTCAGAAGACTTCTGTAATCTATTAAGGGTTGTGGGGGGTTACTGTTTGCCAAATGCTGCACTTTGCCAGCTCCTAAAAGTCTCTGATCATCAGTACATAACTGTGCTGTCCTTGCACCTTATTAGCTGGCTGAAAAGAGTGTTTTGATGCCTTCTGTTTAAATTTTAGCCATTTGGTTAAATTTTGTGTGAGGGGAGAAGAGGAAATGCTTCAAAATGTTTCTGTTTGGGGAATCAGATAAAGTTTGCTGTTAATAATGTTACTCTCTTGAAAAACACTGTCACCAGGTTTCATCATTCAAGTACATCCCACCTGTGCAGCTGCAGTAAGACAGTTAGTGATGAAAAATACCAAGATCCTTTTCAACTTGGTAGAAAAGACTTGAAGAATCTCTATGAAGATATCAAAAAGGTAAGGTATTTTGGTGGCTATTCTGCAATGTTGTGATGTTCTGATTTTACTAGCAGCCATCACTTTGGAGGATAGTTACTGAAAGAATATTCTTTATGTTTGTGAACAGCTGTCGGAAACTTAAACTGAAGGTAAAGAGAGCAGTTCTACATATCTTACAGAACCAGAATGCAGTTCGTCTTCTCCTGATTTACACTGCTGGAATACATAATTTACATTTCAGATTACTTATAGTAATTAAAAAAAAATACTTCAGCTTACATTGGGTGGAATGAATGCAGGCAGTAAACTTACACCTGTGTACTGTTTTGCTTACACTAAACAGATTTGCTTTGTGGCCTTTATGCTAATACGTCCTTTTCATTTTATAGGAATTACTTATATCTACAGCAGAACTGAAGGAAATGTGTGATTATTACTTTGATGGGAAAGGAAAGGCCTTTCGACCAATGATTGTGGTGCTAATGGCAAGGGCTTGCAACATTCACCATAATAATTCCAGGTAAGTCGGTCACTTTAAGATATATAGATGTATGTCACACTTGAAATTTATCATTCTTGTGCTCCTGAAAAATACGTCTGGTAACTTCATGAAAATAAAAAGCTCGTCAGTAAAACATGAATTTAAGTTCCATTGTGAAGCTGTATTTTTTGTAGTTAGTGCAAAAGGAACTACTGGGTTTATTACATGCTTCCATGTGTAAAATTGTGGACCATACTGCAGTTGTAACTGGTGATGGATTAATAATGTTGCCAAATTCTGATATTTGTGAAGTTTTTAGCCAATTTTAGCTTCTTACATAAATGTTTTATTAGAACTTGTAATATTACTTGAAACTGTGTACTTAATTAAAAGTATTTTTCACTTGTAACCACTCCTGTAGCTATTAAACTCTTGTCACAGGTAAGAACTTTGCTGCAAGAAGAGATTTTCATACTTTTTTGTAACTATGCTGAAAAGCCATTAAGCAGGTGGTATGATTATATTCAAAGCTGCAAGACATTCAAAACAGTCGGAGATTATTTTTTTCCCCTCTAGGAGTAAGTTTCTACACTTTTAGTGTAAGATTCTAAGCTTAAAGGTGGAGTAATTCTCAAGATCTTTAAGTTACTTGTCTTTTGAAAGCAGTTTTAACTGAGCAGAGCATCATGCTCGCCCTGTACTGTCACTCCTTACTCTGGCTGATTGCAGATGCTTCTCTCCACATGTTCCTATCAGTTATGTTTGCATTTTGAGGAAGTGTGTTGGCTGGAGTGTACTCTGTCTTCCAGCTACACTTCAGTCTTCCCTCGTATAGAATTTCAAATATGAAATCTTTGGTCCCTTGCCAGAAGTGTTTCTAGACTAATTCATCAGTCTGAAGGGATTTCTCTCAGCTCTCACTGTTTTTTCCTTAGTGGTAGGTTAATGCCTTATTGAACTTGGTGCCTGCCTCAGAGCATGGCATATACTTTGCTGCTTGATATGACACCTCTCCAGTATAGAAATTTGAAGGAGAAAGCAAACTCTAGTTGGCAGTGTCCTGTCTCATGTGTGCCAATTCCTCATTTTAGGAAAACATTGTCCAGGACTGATGAACTTCACTCCAGCCTGATTCTGTTCTCCATTCAGTGCTGCAACTTGTCACTGTGTTAGAGGTAGCAAAAGGATTGATAGGTTGTGAAACTCCTCAGGGATGTCCTTTGTCACAGCACTGGTTGGCTCACTGTTTTCATGCGTGATCTTGACGTGAAGAACAGGAGTGTGATGATGGCACTTTTTGTTGAAAAGGTCATTGCTGCTGACTGGCCATCCATGGTGGAATGAAAGGAAGCACAGTAAAACTAAAATTTCTGCTTGAGCTTGGAGGCTCGTTGAATGTTCCATTAGAGCATAACCCCAAAGTGATTTGCAGCCACTTTCTCTAGGAAAAACCTTAAAGTAATCCCAATGTGCATCAACCATAGTATATCCAGTTCAGCTACAGGAGTGCTGATACCCTTGCATAGTGCTTTGTGAAATGAGCATGTCTGAGCCTTGTGTTCAAAAAAAGGTAAGTCCAGCTGGCTTTAGGGATGGACTGCAAAGATGATCAGGGAGAATGAGGGACTTGTGGTCTACAAATTTATCAGGAACAGGGCAGAAAGAGCTATTTAAGACAAAGGACAACGTTGCTAAGAGGGTGGAAACTTAGGAGGATTTTTTTAACAACTCGGACAGTGAGTTTTTGGAGCATCCTTCTAGTCAGAATAATGGGAGCAATAGTTTTATCTCATTCTGTCTTGTAGCATGAGAAGCTTATGAACGAAATATGTGACATATTGAGAAGGCTGGAATTGATGTCATGTAGTGCAGGAGGTGAGCAGTGAATCAAAGAGAAGAAGTAGTTGTAGAAAGAACTGAATTTGCCTTCATATGCTCAAAGCGAATTTGCTGTCTTTGACATACACATATGCTCATGGTCGTATTCTTGTGCATGCATTATGCCGTCTTGAAACCATCAGGACCGGTTTTGAGACCTGCCCTACGCCAGTGGGAAAGTGTGATCTGAGTTCAGGTGCCACATGTGCCTGAGGCAAGTGTTTGCTTCGCAGTGGTCAACCCTCAGCGTAAGCACTCTGAATTATAGATGCCTCTGTCATTTGGCAGCTTTTGTACATCTGCTGCAGTTTTTGGCCAGGCTGTGTTTGATGCTTAAAAGCCTCCTCGTTAAGCTGAATGTTCCTTCCTCTCAGGACAGACTGAGTCACTGTCTTTGTCGTGTTGTTTTTAGAATGAAATTCTGAGTAGGGAGGACAGAAATGCTTCAGCAAAGGAAGAGAATGAAATCCCAGGGTGTTTGCCTTCCTCTTCTTTGCCTCATGGCATTTTTCCTAAGCCTATGATTGTAATTAAAATTCATGTATGTTTATACAAGTCTTCAGTGTACTGCTTTTTGGTTCCTGCATGATGACCAACATCTCTTAAGGGTTGTGTAGATATACTTTCAGTTCACACTGACACTGGTTTAATTATTCTTGCTTCTTAAAGCAACTTTGCTTTTAGATGAGAAATTGTTCTCCCAGCTCTCTACTGTTTGTGAGGAATCTTTTATCAGTGATCTGGATGAGGCGACTGAGTGCTCCCTCAGCAAGTTTGCAGATGACACTAAGTTGGGAGGGAGTGTTGATCTGCCTGAGGGTAGGAAGGCTCTGCAGAGGGACCTGGATAGGCTGAATCAATGGGCTGAGGCCAACTGTATGAGCTTCAACAAGGCCAAGTGCCGGGTCCTGCACTTAGAGCGCAATAACCCCATGCAGCGCTACAGGCTTGGGGATGAGTGGCTGGAAAGCTGCCATGCAGAAAAGGACCTGGGGGTGTTGGTGGACAGCAGGATGACCATGAGCCAGCAATGTGCCCAGGTGACCAAGAACGTCAATGACATCCTGGGGTGTTTCAGAAATAGTGTGGCCAGCAGGGCTAGAGAAGTGACTGTCCCACCGTACTCAGCACTGCTGAGGCTGCACCTTGAGTACTGTGTTCAGTTTTGGGCACTGCAGTATAAGACATTGAGGTGCTGGAGAGGGTCCAAAGAAGGGCAACAAGCCAGTGAATGGTCCTGAGAACAAGTCTTATGAGGAGTGGCTGAGGGAGCAGGGATTGTTTAGTTTGGAGAAGAGGAGACTTTCACCTTATCGCTCTCCACAACTACCTGAAAGGAGGTTGTAGAGAGGTGGGTGTGGGTCTCTTCTCAGAAGTTACGACCAATAGGACAAGAGGAAATGGCCTCAAGTTACACCAGGGGAGGTGTAGGTTGGACATTAGGAGAAACTTCTACGCTGAAAGGGTTACCCAAGACTGGAATGGGCTGCCCAGGGAATTGGTGGAATCACCATCCTTGGATGTATTTAAAAGCCATCTAGATAAACTGCTCAGGGACATGGTTTAGAAGTAGGCATGGTAGAGTTAGATAACGGTTGGACTCAATGATCTTAAAGGTCTTTTCCAACCACAACAACTCTATGATTCTGTGAAAGTTGTATATGTAGAGAAGGAAACATTGTGTATTTGTAACTCTGCTACTCTGCTATAGACCTGAGGAATGACTTGCTTTCTGTTCTGCTTCTCCCAACATTTTTTAAGATGTTTTTCCTCTTTCAACTTGTCACTTTCCTTAGAGCATTTTGTCGTTCAACTTTTCCTCAGTTAATAATGATTCTTCTCCCAGACCTGTTTTTCTTTGTTGAAGCTTTGGTTCCCATATATGTAATCAAAGATACTGGCCAGAACGTCTGTTGACTTTTGGGCTTGGCCAATATCCTGTGCTGTTCATCCCTCGCATTTTTTTTTATTCTGCCTCTGGGGTTTATGTAGCTGATGTTGAGTTTCTGCTTCATCTTGCTGCTATTCTCATCTGTCATATAACTTACTGGACCCAGCATGCTTTTGCCTGTTCTTTTGTTTGTTGGGTTTTGTTTTGTTTTTGTTTTTTTTCCTTTTTCATTTGTGCAGTACTAGTAGAAAAGGTAATAGTCTTCCTTGTTTGGCTGTTTAAATAACAGGGCACAACTGTGTAAGGCTATAGGTCCTGATCTTATGAGGCAGTCCACAGAGACCTCCTTGTCTTCACGGAGCCCCACCAGAATAGCTGAGACTTGTCAAGTGAATGGAAGGGAACACCCAGATAGCTCTGCTTACAGGTTAGGTGACATGGTCATTTATATTTCAGTTTGAGGAAGGCTGGGTATTTAGAATGCCCTCAGCAGCTCAGCTCTTTCCAGAGTGAAGTTACTTTGTTGTAATCATAACAAAGAGAATGACAGCTGCATAAAGAATCTGAACTTTTATCAAAAGTTAAGTGTCTGCAGCATTCAAATCGTTCTGTGCTGGTATGTTGGTAGATCTGAGTGTCAGCAGTCCAACCCTGAGTCTTTAGGTCCCTTGGGCAATGGCTTTTTGCTTAATGATAGCAACTTAGCTTTGTGCGAGAGTGAGAATTGTTGTGAAGAGTTTAAGCTGAGGTTATGCAAACCCTCGATTTCACACATCCTCTGGCTTTTCTGCACATACTTGTGTGCAGAATTTCACAGAATTATCACTTACCCTGACTGGACCTGAAGTGTCTGTTTAGGGTGTATTCTCCAGAGGTGCTTGCAAATAGGAGTTTTTATTTCTATTTCTGCAACCAAAATGAGAGCCAAACAAGTAAGAGAAGGTCAAAGACATACAGACATCTCGACAGAGAAAATAGCGAGCACAAAAGATTTAGGGGGGGAAAGGGAAATAAATCCATCAGGATAGTGCGAGAAATACTTAAATACAGTGACCTGGCTAAACTCATAGAATATTTCCTGAAGATATGAGGACATGCCAGCAACCTTAGTCCTCTTTTCTTTCACTCCTCCAAGCCATGGTTGTCAGATGCCTGACCTGTCTGATGGTTTTCAGCTCTTCCGCAGTTCGCTCCCATGTTAACACACCCAGTCTCTATGCTTCCCCTCGTTTGCAGTGCCCTTCAGGTCTCAGGCTGTGTTTCTGAAATATTCACTTCATTCAGCCACTGGGACTTAACAGCAAAAATGTACTTTGAGGAGCGTGGTCATAACACAGAAATCTTGCAAGTCCTTTTGCACAATTCCTGTCTTTAAACTGCAATTTTTACTTATGGGCAAACACATTTGAAAGCTCTTTGTTGCAGGCTGTAAAAGCAGTTTTCTGTTGTTTTGGGTTCTTTTTTTTGGAGGGGGATGGAATTTGAAAGGAGAGTTGTGTTTGTTTTGTTTTGTTTTGTTTTCTTTCAGCCTGTGAGATCAGCCTTGGTCTTATTCGTTGTACGTGAGACAAGTTCTGTGATGGAAAACACCTCAGGGTGCTGTAGGTCTGTAAATGCTTATCACAGAATCAAGCAGGGAGTCCTACTGAAAAACAGAACATGATCAAGGTCTTAAAAATTAATATAATGCATGTGTAAAAAGATAAACTTAGAGTTCTATTATAAAATTGTGTAAATTTATATAATCCTGGGGTACCTTTACTTTGAGAATGACCTAAAAATGGCATCTTTCCACTTACTGGAGTTGTGTGGGACCCAGGTATCTTTTGACTTCAGTTACCACTACTCTTTGCTTTTGTTTTGCAGGCGAAGCTGAATGAGAAATGGCAGGGAATGAGAAGGATCCTGTTTCTTGTGTTTTCCTAAAATAGGCATGCATTGATTCAGAATTACTTTCACAAGATGTTTGTAGGAAACTATTGCATTTTTTTTTTGTTGCCAATGATGGAAAGAAATTTGCTCGAGACCTTGCAGAAATAGTAGTTTAAAAAAACCCCTTTGGGGTAAATTATAGCATTTGATACAACGTTCTGGGAACCAGACACATGATCCATGAGCATTCCTATGCCATTTTTAGTCATTGTCAGAGATGAAGTACACCACGATGCAGAACTTTTCAAAACCTGCTTTTGAAATGTCTGTCTTTGTGCTGTCTTCAAACTACTGAAAGATTTTGGTGTGTCGGTGAGTGTTGCCATTTACTGCTACTTCCCAGCAGGAAGTCCACTCTGCTGACATAATTAATGAAAAAGGGAGTCCCCAAAAGGAGACCAGTGCATGAAAGAGGCTGGCGACCTTTACAGTTTTTTGAAGGTAAGTTCTCCTACTTAGTAACAATAGTTGATTTTGGAAAACTACTTACACTGAACTAGCATTTGACTAAATTACTAGTCCACAGTAAAACTTGCCTTCAAACAACCGCGAAGGTTTCCAGCTCTTATTTTCTGTTGTATAAAAGCCACATTTTCACAGCCTGTGAGCTGCTATTGTTGAGGATGTAGAACTCCCACTGACAGCAATGCAGAGTTCTGCCTAGAGGTAGGTGTCAGAACGCAGTGTTATGTCAGCAGACTGCAAGATGTTCTTTCCTTTTGTCATTAATCACTAGATTTTAATAGACATAGGCAGTGCAAGAAGATTTTAAATTCCCTTCAGCTGAGCTGAAATGATCATCTTCTATTTCTCTCAGTTCTTTTTCTGTTCTGCTGGAAAATAGTGTGGTTTGCTCTGTTATCTGTGTATCAGAAGTAAGGTATCTGTATATCAGATGCACTGTTTTCTTTTGTTGTTATTAGTTTGGGGTATTTTTTTAACATACACGTGGACTTGTTACAACTATAAGGCAGTACTGACTGGCATAGCCATTTCTGGGACCCATGATGAAAACAGAAAGAGAAAGAGACAGGTACTAGAACAAGGCAGTCGTAGTTGGATACTAGGGTAGATGGTCCTTTGTTTGAGCTTGATTGACTCTTTTATGTTCATTTTGCCAACTTTGTTCCCTAGATAATTGCTTCTATATTCTTCCATTACCTTCTTTTTACCTAGTTTAAAAAAAATAGAGTAGGTGTGAACTACTGAGAATTGAATCATCAGTGTTAGATCTTGGCAAAGGCTGAATTTCAGTAAGGGTTAGGTAGTTAGTGTTTCCAGTCCTAAAGTGGTTGCAGTATAATTCCAGTTAATTCCTCAGGTTTTTGAGGAACCTTTGAAGGCCTTAAGGTAATCAGATAACACAAAGGATATCGAGTTGTATCTTTCCAAAGTACAATACAGATTTCTGTGCCCGCTCATCTCTCCCACTGGCTGTTAGTGGAGTTACTCAGCTTTGGAGAGGCTGCGGTGCTGTGTCTTACAGGTAGAGCAGCACAGAGATAAGGAAAACTTAAAACTCCTCCACAAAGGTATCTGGCAATCTTTTCTCTGCTGTTTTCAAGATTTCCATCTCCTTGAAACCAAACATCCTTGGTGCTGTGCTATTTATTGCAGTCTGGATTTAGAGGGATTAGAGTCAAGAACACAGGAGTTTTGCAGTACCGTTAATGCAGCAAGGCAGAAACAGGCCTAATAAGGATGGAGATATCCTGTTGCACTTACTGTACTAATGTTATCTTACTTTCTTCTGTCTTCCTAATTTCAGGTTTGAAAGATGGGGTTCAGAGCATGGAAAAGCTGCAGCAGCTCTTTTCAGAGAAACATTTTTTGTTTGGTTTCAGTGTATTGCAGCACATGGAATTGATGTAATTATCTGACAGTTCTTGTTTTTTATTTTAGGGAGGTACAAGCAAGCCAGCGCTCTGTGGCCATAATTGCTGAGATGATCCACACAGCCAGCCTAGTTCATGATGATGTTATTGACGATGCAAATTCTCGCAGAGGAAAAATGACAGTCAATCAGATCTGGGGAGAGAGGAAGGTGAGTTTGCTGCTACGTGTGAGACTTGCCTTTGAGTTTCAGCAGAGCACAGATACCTAGGATTTTTGTCACGTTACCATCCCTAGACATAGTCTTGGGATGTGCCACAAAAAGTATGAAGAGGTGTGCACAGATTGTGGGTAAGACAAATGTGTGTTTCTCTTCTGAACTTCTGGAAGCATTAGATGATACGTGATTGTAGTGTCATTCTTTCTGACTTTACGTTCCCTATGCCATTCTCTGCAGTGCTGTTGGAATACTTTGAACTTGTTCCTCATCCAGAGCACTGTGTGTTACTTTCATTCAGTAGTTTTCAGTCAGCATTTTTTTTAATTTATTTTTGAGAGGTGTTTCTTCATAGAGCATTAAAAGTGAAAGTCTTAATCAGAAAATGCGAGGAAAGAAGTACACTGCTGATGTGTCAGAATGTACTATGCCAGTTCAGAGCTAATATGGCGTAACAGTCACAACAGAATGGTCAAATAGAGAAGCAACGTTCAGAAAAATCAAATACACATTCAGATACTGCTTATGCAGAAAAATAGAAACAGCATTGTAAGACAGGGATTCAAAAATGGTTCATATTTTAGTATTTAGTTATCTTCTGTTTTCCTTCTGTTACAATGAGATATGTGTGCTTTATGTTGGAAAACAATGTGATGCGACTAGACCCGCCAATAGAGGAAATGTTATTGTCTGTACTAACACTTACAGGAAGACACTTAAAAGATCTTTTTTTTAATTATTCTTAGGCTGTTCTAGCTGGTGACTTTATCCTCTCAGCTGCTTCAGTAGCTTTAGCACGAATTGGAAACACTACTATCATCTCTGTTCTAACTCAGGTGATTGAAGATCTGGTGCGTGGTAAGGTCTTTTTCTAATTTTATCTTCAGATTTGCTTGCCTAAGCAGTAAACCCACAAATAAAAACTCCCATCTGTGCTACTTTTTAGGTGAATTCCTCCAGTTGGGTTCCAAGGAAAATGAGAATGAGAGATTTGCTCACTACCTCGAGAAGACTTTTAAGAAGACTGCGAGTCTTATAGCAAACAGTTGTAAAGCAGTATGTACGTCTGTCTCTTCTAAAGTTAACATACCATGCCATAAGCTTCACAGCTACACCCCTAGTTATTGCTGTTTTCTCTGGAGACCCTCCAAAGTAAACCCTTTCAGTGGTGTTCTGCCAGGATGTGAATGTTTGAGATTGTGCATTTTATCACAGTTACACAGAATCACAGAACGTTAGGGAT